CCACCAGTGTGATATTTTGAACTCCCACAGGCGCAGCCAGATCATCAATGTGCTTTCTCCAGCCTTCATTGAGAGCGACTGCATCCTCCTCCGCAACCCGGACCTCATCTTCGACTTCATCAAGCTGAGGCAGAACCTGTTCGCCAACTTCTTGATTGGCGGGATCTCCATCGCCTCCTTGATCGGCAAGACCTTGTTCACCATCTTCTCGATCGTCAGGGCGGTCTTCATCATCTTCTTGCGGATGATCTCCATCTCCCCCCAAACCACGAGGCAGCTTTGGAATGGCCACCGTTGCCACCATGATGTACTTCGCCTTTGTGCTCAAGCCCACATCATCTCCCAGTGGCATTGGTCCCAAAATGTCATAGGACAGGCAGTAAGCTGATCGATCTCCTGATGTCCTCCGGTGCGGTGCATCCACGCCCATCAGCTCCATGCATCGCCGACAATCCCTCCTGTAGGGTTGGTGTTGATTTCGAACATGGGTTTTCCAACTTTCCATGCTCATTCGCTTCACTCCAGGTTCGCCGTGGTGCACAATCTCCTCCGCATTCCACCTGCGCCTGTAGTCCAGGAGGAAGTTCTTCAAGCACTCCTTCACCGCTGCCACCAAGCCCGGTGCCCAGGACGACCACTCCCTCGATTGAGCCAGTCTCCCAGTGAGCGATGTTGCTTCAACTTCTCCTCTACCTTCTCCGGACACGCCATCTAACTCCTTCATCTGTGGGAGGTTGGCGACCATCAAACATGTTGGTTTTCTCTTGACGTGGCCCATAGGCCCTTGATCCATGGTCAGCAAGGATGCGCCCATCAGCTCTCTGGCCTTCTTCACTTCCTCAAAGTTCCAGAAACTCGGCATGTCCTCCTTGGTGGCCTCAGTTGACATGTAATCCATGGGGTCTCTTGGTGACTCCATCAGGAATCCAGGTGCTGGTCGTCCTCCACGATGCTCATCAGCGAGGAGCCACAGACCAATCTGTTTCATCATCAACGCACAATCGCTGAGGGCAAGCTCCTGCTCTGGCGAAGAAAGTCCCTCCAGCATGAATCTGCGGTCATCTCGACCTCTCAAAGGGCGTGGACCCGGAGCTCGGTGCCTCAACCGTGACACCGTGCGGCATGGCGGCCCTCCCAACACAGCAACGACCAAGCCTCGTCGAGCTAGATGACATAGGTAACCCCAAGTTCCAATGCCATGGAGGTCGAACTGTGCGCCCATCGTCACGTCCACATTCAAAATCTCGAAGCCACCCCAGTCCGTCTTAGACCAACTCTTATAGTCCTTCCCGGCAAAGAGGTTGACAATCACACCACGAGACGCCAGGTGTCGTCGCCGCTGACGTCGATTCCAGGGGCAAGTGCAAGCATCAAAGCTGTCCTGGCCCTTCATGAACTCCCACACCTCCGCAGGGACCTCAGGGAATCTTGATGACCACCATGATCGTACTTCATCATCAGTGAAGATCTCCCCCCGATCTGCCTTCTCCATGGTGCTGAGCAACTCCAGCGCCTTGGCCTCAGGTAGAACCGGACATCCCCCACGAAGCGCGCAGTCAATCCTGCCATGATCAGGGTGATTGATCTTCACTCCAGCCGCCGTCCACTGAAGCCGATACCCCAAGCCCACCAGTCGATGGAGCGGGGCAATGACCTCCACGTGGTCCTTGGACAGCAAGGTCTTGTGGTCATCCACCCTGAACAACGTCGTTGACCCTGAGGCCAACTCCACCCTCACCGGGTACATCCTTTCCAGCTCCTGCTCATGTGCTCGACGAAGACCATTGGTCGCCCCTCCATCCAGCAATCCAACAGGTGCCAAACCATCAGTGCCAACCGGCTTCAATTCCTTCACACGAAGCACCTTCATGCTCCGAAGTGTCTTGAGCAAAGACGTTGCCTCCGACAGCAACTCTGCCGTAGTTTCCCGACCCAGTGGCTTCTCAGGTGTTCCTGCCATTCTCGAAGTGGTCGTGGTAGGAGGCGGCGATGACCCCGGAGACGGCTCTTCACCTATGGGCTGCTCCTTGGCGATCTTCTCGACGATCTCCCCCTTCTCTCCTTCCTTCGTGGCCTTCACCTTTGAGACCTTCTTTGGATCAGTCTTTCCAGTCTTGGGTTGGTGAGGACATTCACGCTTCATGTGGTTCCCACCGCAACCAAAGCACCGGTTCTTCATATCCGAGGTGTCGTGGGCATAGGTGCAAGATGTTCCCCTCCTGCAGCCTTCCTCCGACTTCCAGAACTTGCAAGCAAGCCTTCCTCCTGCTCGCTCCTCATTCTCAGCCGCTCCAAACGACGATGCCATGGCCTTCAGTGACGTCGAGACCGCTTGATTGGACGAGGCCGCCGGCTGAGCCAGTGGTGCACCACCCTTCTGAGCTGCAGTGAGGGACATTTCTTCGATCTCCGCCTGCACATACTCAGCTAGCTCAGTGACTCCTTCCAATGAAGCTGCATAGTCAACTCGGAGTTCTTGACGAACATTTGAAATCCTGAATGACACCTGAGTGCCGCCTGCTTTTTGGGTGCTGTCGATCATGCGCTGCAGGGCGTGCATGAGGACCAGAGGGTCCGGAAGGTTGAGGTGAAGTTCTTGAGCACGAGATAGCCAACGTCGCCACAACCGGACCTGCATCAACAATTCTCCCACCGATGTGGAGAACTTCGACTCCACTAAATTCTTGAGGAGTTGCGTTTTTTCAGCGCCGCCTCCTGGCTGGTACGCCACATGGAGCCGGTACAGGATGTGCACCACGGACAGCTGCCTGCCAGACACCAAGTCCCGACGAAGCTGATCAGGTAGTGCTCCAAGTAGCATGGCAATTCCACGCTGTTCAATCCGTTGAAATGCTGGGTCCACTTCAACTTGAGGTTTCGATCTCAGCCTCTCCAGCGGACTCAGTCGCAGCCACCGGGAGTAGTGCTCCTGCGCCACCATCAAGGACTCTTCCCACCAGGCCTTCGCCGAGTTGGAGATGTCAGCCATCAGCGGGAATGCCATAGTCAGCCAGTCGCCGAAGAGAATCGAAGCTCCTTCTCCATTGGGTGCTGGAAGTGAGGGAAGCTCCAAATTTCGCAGAGCCTCGGTCGTCGATGCCACGGGAATTCCAGCCCCAATTCTGGTCACCTTTCCTGCTCCACCACCAAACCCTGATGACAATGTCCCGGTTGTGGTCTCATGTAATCCAGGGGGTCGATCAGGTAGTGACTCACCAACACCATCACCAGAGTTCCCACCTTGACCATCAGTGGAACCACGAAGTTTCGCCCGCTCGCCCACACTATTCGCCGATTCAAACGTCGACGAACCTTCACCACCTGTCAGCTTCTTGACCTCCTTCTCAAAGTTCAAGTGGGCTTCGCGAAGGATGCGCTCCCGGATGGCTTCCAGCTCCTGAGACGTAGGGCTTCTCTTCACCTCTTCACTAGGGGGTCGAGGACGTTCAGAACGGGATGCCACATCAGGTGCACGTCCACGGTCACTCCAAAAAGGATTGGTCTGCTGCCGCCCATGTTGATGGGGTGTGGACATGTCGTAGGGCTCAAGTACTCTAGGTTGTGGACCACCTTCACCATTCATGCTGCTCCTGTCCGCTCTCGGCGGAATCGGAAACTGAGGCGATGACGCTGCCTCCCGCTGCCAAGCCCCTTGCCCTCCAGGTTGTCCCGGATCATCAGCGCGAGGGTGTCCTGGATCGCGGCCATGAAATAGAGGTCCAAGTAGTCCTTCAGGAGGCGGAGGTCCCACCGGCATCGGTCCTTGGGAAGTTGATCCAAAGGCCCTTTGCAACACCTCGAGGGATTGCCTCACCGTCTCCTGCCAGCCAGCTCCTCGGTCATGCCGTTCAGATGCTGGACCTTGTTGTCTTCCATCAGCTCCGCTTGCCGCCGTCGAAGATCTTCTCGCCTCGCCAGCCGC